ACACACACACACACACACACACACACACACACACACACACACACGTTAAACTTCTACCTGTACAACTACTTGAATTACTGAGCAGCTGTTAGGTAACCACACCTCTTTTCAAGTGACTGAATCAGACTTTATATAGCAACAAATCACGACAGTCACGTCGAGGTGCTTCATGCTGTAATGTAAAGAGCGTAGGAGCGTCCACTAACACAGAGAAAACCCCTGAAATCACGATCGATGAGTAAGCACTCTGCCGACAGTGGGACCGGGCAGGGAGGAGTTCTGCTCAGGGAGGGTCGGCGGTTGGGGACGAGGGGACGAAGACAGGATGTCAACACACACGTTCAGACTCACATGCATCGTGGCTCGGTTGGCGGCAAGAATTCCCACGCTGGCGTTGGGCATTACGTGCAGACTGATCGTGGTCAGCCTTTTGACAAACGCCATCGCCCTCTGTAGGGTCACCTGCTTCCTGCGGCGGGTCAGCATTGCGTCCAGACACCGCAGCACAATGATGGCGTCATCGTTGGGCGCCCCTGAGGGATTCAAAGCGTGGCTGTTAAAACAATCATGTGACGTGTGACGTCATACTGCCAGTTCAAAGTGAGGCTAACTGACCTGCGTGGAGCCTGGGCAGCAGTTTATATAACTGAGAGTAAAAGTTGAGCGGGTCGATGTTCAGGACGTCACCTGATACACAAACAAACTTTATTGATCCAGGAAACTCAACAGGAAGTGACATCATGTGCAGGAAACACACCTGACTTTTCAAAGAGTTTTAAAAATAATTTATTGGTCTATCTCAGTGAGAATAAACTGTCGCCAGTGCTATTGCTGTGCCTCTGTGAGCCTAACACAAACACAAACGTTTGTCTATGTCACTGGGAGGGGACCCTTACATATTCCCAGGACTACAATCCAAGTCTGAACCTTTAAAACAACTCGTTATTGCAGCTTATTTAAATAAACATCCACAAATGTCTCGACATTGATACACAAAGAAGGTCCTGACTTGTGATCATATAACAAAAATATTTAAAATGGCCTCAAAGGTCTTCATCAGACTATGGTCTTCACAAGTCAGATATACGAGCACACACACAGAGTCTGACCTTGTCCTGACAGGATGGTGAAGACGGTCTGGATGCAGTGCAGCGTCTCCTTATTGGACAAATCCTGCAGGTATAAATAAAGAAACAAAAATAAATAAAGAACTATTTGTGACACCAAACTAGCAGGTGACTCTGCAGGGGGCGGGGTCAAATATGAACACTCACTCCTGCTTGGATGAGGTCCTGCAGCACGTTGAGCAGGTCATCAAAGAACTCCAGGTTGATGAGGTGAGCAAAACTGACAGGAAATGACATCATATTCAGCACTATAGTAGTACTACAGATTGTGTGTGTGTGTGTGTGTGTGTGTGTGTGTGTGTGTGTGTGTGTGTGTGAGGGCGTACTTGGCGAGCCCCTCCAGAACTGCAGGGAGAAGAACTGATTTCTGAGCCTTCTTCAAAATCCTGAAGTAAATGAGGAAGACGATGTTCAGCGTCTCTGTGTGCTGGAGGGGAAGAGCAGAGGGGTGAGGAGGAGGAGGAGGAGTGTCCTTCCTCTCACCGTACATGCTCGTGACCTTTCAACTCACCAGCTTGATCTTCTTGTCTTTGCTCTCTGAGGCTTCGGCTTCCAGCAGCTCCTTCTCCAGCTTCTCCTCAGCCTTCTTCCACTACACACACACACACACACACACACACACACACACACACACACACACACACACACACACACAGGTTGGTGTCTCTCACTGCCCCCTGCTGGACGGACTGAGAAATCCCTGAGCATCAGCTCATCACAGAGGAAGTTGTTGATGCTTCTTATATTAATGCTCATAGACTTCAGTGACTTCGCGCGAGCATGTAGAAACATTTTATTCTCACTCACATGTTCTTCTCGTGTTTTTGTTACTTTGCTAATATTTCCTCAGGTTATTGTAAGAATTGTTTTTTATATTTTGCCCCAGTAATATTAACTTTTCATTGACACATTCTCTTATTCTCACATTATTATGTTTGGAGTTTATTATTTTAAATTAAAAATATTTCTTACACGTTTCGCCCATATTTGGATCCTTTGTTTACCTTGTGATCGTGAGCAGATCATCTCTTTGTGCTGATGTTTCTGGCACAAACGTTTGAACGAACACGTGTTCCTGTTTCTAAAGCCTGAGTTTCTCTGACTGTTCGTCTGCTGCTGCAGCTCCAGCCCTTAAAATGAACGAGGCCTCGTTAACGGGGCTGTCGGGGGCGGAGCCGACCGCTGAAACAACCAATAAGGACTCGGTGCGAGGGTTTACCTTCCTCTGCATCCTCGACAGGTTCTTCTTCCTCTCCTTGTTGGTCATGAACTTCTTCTTTGGTGCCGCAGCCTCGATGTCCTTCTTCATCTCCACCTCTTTAATCCTCAGACTCAGCAGCGTCCGCAGCAGCTGGAGGGGGCGGAGTTAACAGCGTCTGATAAATAATTTATCAACAGTCTTCTCGGAGTGGGCGTGGCCTGGATACGTTTCGTTCGTTACCTCGGGTCGGACGTTGTAGTTCAGGCTCTTCACGAGGCCGGAGATAACTCGCACCGTGGCCAGCGAGGCCCCGCCCGCTCTGTCCTGCTGGAAGAGCTTCCTGAACGCGTCACAGCACACGCCGGACACCTGAAACACAAAGAGCACGTGAAGGCGTCGCACAATGCTGGGCTGCGCTGCGGCGCCCATGAGACTCACCTTCTTGGTGGAGTCGTTCATCAGCGGCGCCAGGACGACCACAATGTTGTTGTGGAAGTTGAAGTGAGGCAGAGCGACGAGCAGCTCGCACAGGCAGCGGACGGCGACCTCGGCCAGCCCGCCGTACGCCTGCAGCGCCACCGCCTGACTGCGCTTCTTCTTCTTCTGCTTCCAGTCTGTGGGCGGAGATGAGCGGTCAGGGCGCCGTGAGGTGTGCGGGTGTCAGTGTGTGGCTGTTGCTACGGTGACGGAGGCGTACCTTTGACAGTCTGCTCCAGGTCCTCCAGGTAGAACTTGTACTGACTCACCAAACCCTCCTCGAACTCTCGGAGCACCTGCGTCTCCTTCTTCACCTGGAAGACGGCGAGCGGCAGAAGCAGCAGGTTAAAACGTGGCGACTGTGGCGACCTGCCGCCAGGCGCTTCCTCTACAAACAAACTCACAAACGCACCTTAGCGGTCTTCTCCGCCGAGGTCAGAGGTCGGATCCTGTAGGTGGGGGCGATGTCTTTGAAGACCTCCATCAAAGAAACCATCACCAGCTTTCTGACCGTCACCGCCACGCTGGGGTCGGCCTCCATCAGCATCCCCCGCAGCTCCTTCACGCGCTTTATCTGTCACACACGACGTCACGTTAAACACACACATACACGCCACGAGCCTGATCCCAGAGCGGCGCCCGGCCTTACGCTGCCGATGGGGTCCGACACGATGGCCGACGCCAGGCCGGCGATGGTCAGCTTCCTCTCGTTAAGCTTCTGATTCCTGAGCCGCTCTCTCTGCGCCGGCGTCATCTCCTGGCAGCTCGGTGGCTCCGCCTCTGCAAGGAGGACACGTGACAGATGAGAGGACGCCTCAGCCTTGTCACGGAGGCGTTTACCCCGCCGTGCTTGCGGAGTTTAATTCTTATTCCAAAAGTTCTGATCGCTTTTCATACCTGTGTCGACATCATCAGGCTCCTCCTCCTGCTTCTCCCCCTGCTCCTCCTCCTCCGGCTGCTTCTCCACCACTGAAAGAACAGAGGGAGACGTTTCGACACAGCCGCACAGAACCAATCAGATCGATCAGGGATCAACGCAGCACGCCGTACCCCTCTCGACGCTCTGTGGGATCACGCCCGTCTTGTCTTTGATCGGCAGCAGGTGGATCACTTCCTTTTCCTCCGTCCTCGCCATCTTCCTGGGAACCTTCTCGTAGCTGCGAGCTACGTCCGATTTCCGCTTCTTCCCGCCATGCACCGGCCCGCTGGGACGCCCCGCCGCACCACACAAACGCACCTCAGTCACTGCGCATCACACCTGCTTCTGTATCTAAATATGGTTTGTGTGTGTGTGTTGGAGTTACCATGACGACAGGTCCCTGGTGATGAAGGACGCCTGGCGAGCCATGGCGGTCATCTGCTGCAGGTCTTCCTGCTCCATCATGTCTGTGGGTAGGCTCTCCAGAAACTCCTCCTCCTCCTCCTCCTCCTCTGTACGAGCAGGAGCAGGGTCAGACAGTTCTGGTCTCTGATTGGTTTACAGCAGACGTTAGTAATCACGTTATCGTTTGCCGCTCACCTGGTCTCTTCCTGTACGTCTCCAGGGGGCGGGGCGTTTCGCCGACGGCGCCCTTCACCGCCTGCCTCAGCCTTTTCTGCTCCTTGCGCTGCTTCTTGGCGACGTTCTGCTGCTTCAGCTGGCGGTTCTTCAGCTTGTTCTCCAGCTTCACGCCGCTCGTCTTCAGCAGGCGGCGAAACGTCGGCCGCCGCTTCTTCGAGCGAGGCTGCGGAGCGTCAGAGGAAAGAAGGAGAGGTGTTTAGCAATGATGTCACGGTCCATGGAGGCTCTGGCTTGGATCCTGTGAACACCTGACGCCGTGTGACCGACTCTAAACCGACCAATCAGAGACAAACTCAGCGTCGAGCTGCTGATTTACTGGACTCACTGTGGGCGTGGCGCTCAGACGCTCTGCCGCCTCAATACTACCTCGCACTACACGGTACTACCTCGCACTACACGGTAC